GGTTCCTCCCCGCGGTAGTGTCTGCGGAGCCGCAGCTCGCGCTGCAGGGCCCGGCCACTCCCGCAGCTCCGTGGTGGCTGCGAGCGGCTTCGTGTCCACGCGGGGAGCCTCGCGCTTTGCGTGGGTCCCCAGCAGCCTCCAGGGCCCGGCGCTGCAGCCTCGGGAGCCGTTTGCAGGTGCCAGGGCTGTCGCCAGACCCTGCTGCCGCTCTGCACTGTCCTGAGCACAGGGAGCTGCAGGGACATGTGGCACGAGGGCCTGGCTGCCTTTGCTTGCACCCTGSCTCCCTCCTGAGGTCCCCCTTGCCGCAGCCCCCTTGCAAAGACGTGGCCCTGCTGCTGCATTCGGAAYGGGTGTATTTCTTGTTAAGGGGCCCCCTTCAGCCAGTGCTGGYAGCCCAAAGGAGGCTTGGGCTGGTCTGGCTGCGGGGAGCTGAGCACAGGGTGGTGARTGAAGCGGGCAGTGTTAGCAGCAGAGCCTGGGGCGTTAGTGCGGGGGGCCTGCGAGAGCCTCTTCCCTCTCTGCTGGAGGAATGAGCAGAGGAAGAGCAGGGGGAACCATCTCCACGCTCCTGCAGGGCACCAGTCCAGGGTGGGTTTTGCTGCGTGGCAGTTGGGGCCGGCAGCCGTCCCGGCCCCACGCTGGCAGGTCCATACAGAGGAGGGCAGCGCTAGCTGCTAGCTTCGTGCCCCCTGCCCCTTTGCACTGTCCTCCTGCAGGTCCTCCTCATCTGACTGCACCACGGGGGTCTCGGCCCCATCCTCGCTGGTGTCCAAGCTGTTCTGGTCCGTAGAGACGGAGGACGTGGAGGAAACGCGTGACTTGGCCTCGGCTGCGTTGGGCGCTTGCAGGGCGGTCTCCTCCGGGTACTGGCTGGTGTCTGCCCACAAGGAGAGAGGTAAACACAGACAGGAAAAGGCTTTGGGAGGTCTCTTGCTCCATCACGTTACCCTGCTGCAGGATACGCTTCCCCACGTGCTCCCAGCCACGGCCTCCTTCACCCTGTTCCACTGCCTGCCAGGAGACACTTGGCTGCCTTAGCCTGCTCCCCGCTTCACCCCAGCTTGGCTCCGGGCACTGTCTCACATTCCTTCCCCATTTTTGGCAATGGAGCCTTTTCTGTCTTCTCCGAAACGCGGCTCAGAGCTGCGTGTGGCCATCGGCGAGGGAGGTGTTTGGCTTGGCCTAGCAGTGAATCACCGCAGTGTGTGCGTGGGGAGAGAGGTCCGGGCACCTCATGCTGTTCCTGTGGCGATCGGGATCCGGCCACTGCTGGGCTGCAAGGTGGAGGAGTCCTGGAGCCTCTTTGCCCAGCACAGGCAGCTCTGTGTGCTCCTAGGGACCTCAGAAATCATGACAAGACATTGGCTGCCCCAGAGAAGCTTTAAGACATGGGAATTCAGCTACATGAGCTTTGAAAGGGGCCTCTGCTCTGTTGCCTTCTGCAGCAGGACCTCGTTATGGATGTCCCTGTCTCAGGGCTGCCTGCTGGAACTAGGTGCTCTGCGGGTGGAGGTGGGTGCTGCCATGGACCGCCCAGAGCAAAGACTGCAGTCCCCAGCACCACGTGCTCGTCTTGGTACGGGGGGATGTTGTGMCCGTGTGCTGAGCCTGGTGCTGGGGCTGCGTGAGGCAGCGTGGCCCAGGCTGGAGAACAAGGGGGCTGGTGGGGGCAGGACGAGCTCCCGGCCTGGCCTGTGAAGGACTCAGGCTGCACGTACCTGGCAGGGGGCCAGCAACGCTGCTCTCCTCTGGCCCACAGGGAAGAAACACGTCCAYAGTGTCCTGGTCTGACAGGTCCATCATGTCCATCTGCTCCAGCATGTCCACGTTCACCTCCATGGAGGAAATGCTGCCTAAGGGAGCTGCAGAGAACAGGGGCCAGCACAAAGGTGAGTGGCCTCCCAGGCAAAGGGCACCATCAGCCCTGTGGATGTTTCCAAGTCCAGGCCAGCCCACAGACACCAGGCAGAAGCTGGAAGAGGGAGAGCAGCTTTGCTGTGAGGAGCTGAACTCCCATGGCTCTTAAGAAGTCTCTGGGAGAATCCTGTTTCCTTAAGACATCCTTTTGGAAGTCTCTGCTGTCTCACTGCTATCCCTGCTCCAAACTGCTACCTGGAGAAGCCTGTTTCAGTCCTGTGCCTGTGCAGGGAACCAGCCTTGGTGCCCAAGTTCAGGTCCTGCAGCTAAGTGCTGTGAGTAACCCTTAYGCCCACCCACACCCCCTGTGTGTGACACTGCCTCGGTGCAAGGCACATGTCCCCAGCCACCTTTAGACGGGCAGCACCTGTACCCCAGACTCCTGTCTCTAAAGCCYGTGTCACCATTCCCTGATACCTCCCTCAATCCCCACGCAGGTGTCCCCAGCACTTACGTCTCCGATGCTCCATCTGCAGGTGAGATATCGGGAAGAAGAAATCCACATCGTGCTGGACAACCTCCTCAAAGAACTTCTGCCGCTCCCGCAGCTTGAGCTGCTGCTGCATCTGCTCCGCGTCMAGGCTGCGCTGCCCCTGCTCCATGTCGGCTGAGGAGGAAGGAGAGAGGAGGGTCAGGACAAGCAGGGTTTATCCCAGCTCACGTGGCACTGCCGTGCTGGAGGGTAGGTGCTTCTGCCCTGCTCTGCTCTCCTTGGTTTGGTTGCTTGGCGTAGACACAAGATGCTRAAGCAGCAGGGCCAGCAGCGCACGCTGGGTTGGAGCTGCAGCCTCCCAAGACGCAGGGTGGCCGGCAATACCCGGCTCACACTGCCTGCAGTGAATTGTCAAAGGGGATGTGAGTTCGATGCTCCAGTTCTACGTAGCCTGCACAAATGAATCCTTGATTCTGCTGCTGCGCTGTCTGTGAGCACTCATACGCAGGAGAAACTCCCAAGGACAAGGACAAGAACTGGCTCTAGTTGTTCCACGGTTCCTGACGCTGAGAATTGCTGGAGGAGTAAGAGGCATTAGCAGCCCTGCCCCTTGCACCCCGCCGCCACTGCGGCCGCTCTGTAAATACAGCCGCACCCGCTCGCATCCCCTGCTCCCGCCGCCGACCTGGCTTCTGCCTGCACAAGCAGTTTAATTCCTTTCATTCCTGTTGCAGTTCAGCGCCGCTCCCTGCGTCCCYGGCCCCTGTGGGTGTGACAGGAGCCCTCAGGCTGAGGAGCACTCAGGCAGCGGCTGGAGGGAGCCAGGAGGGAGCTCGGAGCCAGCATCCTGGGTCTGGCGCATCCCTTTGGGCTGGYTGCCCGCAACAGCAAGGACCTGAATGCCACAGAGGATCTGTGACAAGTCCCAGCAGTGGCCCCGGCTGTTCCCAGGCCGGTGTGTGACCTYGGGTGTTCCAGATTTCCTCTCTTGCTGCTCTCTTGGCGCAGGCGGCACAAGGAAAATGTGATCAGTGAAGCAGGCAGAGCGGTAACCAGGGGAACCAAACAAACATCCTCTGCTCCCTTCGAGCGCGGCCCAAACCCTCCGCTCCTCGGGCTGGGAGGAGGGGAGCGGAGGAAGCGCCCGTGCTCGCCCAGCACCCTGGCCCTGTCTGGCAAGGGGCAGAGGGCACTGGTGGCTGCCGTCTGTGGTGCRAGAGCCGAAGGGACAAATGGACATCCTGGGGCTGGGTGTCACTCCTTCTCGGCAGCTCTGTAGGGTTTCTCAGCCCCCTGCTGCATCTTTTGCTTTGGGCTATCCCTTGCCTGAATCTCRTCCTCCTCAGGCAGGTGCCCTGGGAGCTGGATTCCTCCAGCTAGAACCAGCTAGGGCCCCGCATCCTCCTGCAGTGCAAATGCAAAAYAAACCCAGGTCCCGCTTGGAGGGGCAGCGTCACCACGGGGCTGCTGTGAGCAGGGCTGCCACCTGCGCCTCCACGCTYGTGTCGCGCTCTCCGCAGCAGCAGCCTGTGCCAGGTGGGGTGAGGGCCCATGGGAAGCAGCYGGACAAGTGCCGGTGGCGACATTCCTGTGGGCGAGGGGGCCGGAGGACTCGGCAGGACCTGTTTGCAGACTCGGTGCCCGGGTCACGCCGCGGAGCTGAGCACTGAGATGTCATTATGTCACCCGCGGCGGCAGCTGGGYGCTTGGCCTGGCCTCACCCGTGACCGCCGTGAGAGTCGGGGACGGAGCCTCCTGCCGTCCGGAGTGGCGGGGGGGAAGCGAACAGCCCTGCTAGTGTGGCTGTGCCGCCCTCGCTGGGGACGGAGAGGAGAGCGGCGGTCACTTCCCCGGGCAGCTGCTGGTCCCTGTCGCGGTGCCCGGGGTTGCCTCATGCGGCTGGCACGTTCCCAGCGCGGCGGGGGGGCCGGTGCCTGCCGGGGAGGGGTTCAGCTTTGCTGGCCGATGCAGTGGTTGTGACCCCTGCGCAGGGCTGCCCGGCCCCATCCTCTCCCCCTGGGATGGCTCCAGGTTGGCTCGGGGTGAAGGCGCTCGGATTTTCRGGGTGCTGGGAACTCGTTGAATGTGTCCCCTAACTGGCGCATTGTCCGGGAGCCAAGCAGAATAGCCGGGAAAGGTTAATGGAGTTTAAATGGGATGCTCAAGTGTGAGTCAATTCCCTAGTGAAGGAAGGAGCCCAGGCAGCCAGGCTCCTTTGCCCTGCTCCCAGTTTTCCCAGAGCCTTATCCCTCCCTGCTGCTGCAGTGTGGCTGGCGGGACGTGCCCAGTGCTCCAGCTGTCTCCATGTGCGGGACAGCGGATGCAGGGAAGGTACTCGCAGCCCCCATCCTGCCGCAGCCTCCACAAGGAGCCTGGCAGTGATCCCAGCCCCACGGAAACGGGCAAAGGGACTTCCCAAGGGCTGGCATCTCTGGCTGGGAAAAGCCACCAGAGGGGAAAGCTGGGAATGCCTTGGAGAAAGGCGCAGGGTCAGGCTGCACACGGCGGCTGAACTTGCRTCGCAGCAGAGCACAAATAGCCCCGGGAGGAAGCGCAGAGGGCAGGGGGAGGGCGGCAGCACTTGGGGCAGAGCCCAAACCTGCTGGCAAAGGCAGCGGGAGGGTGAGACAGGGGCCACGGGGCACCTGGTGACCCCGGTGTCTGCCACGGCTTCACTGCCAGCCCCTTCCTACCGCTGCTCGAGTCCCCAGCGTCTCGGCACTAAAAATATCCCCTGCGCCCAGAGCTCTTCCCCAGCGGAGACTGTGTCATAAGACCCTGCTATTTACGGGGCCCTGATTCAGTGCGCGGAGAAGCGCGGGGACGGGAAGGCGCTGGGGCCGCGCGGGAAGGCCGGCGGGCCCGGGACCGCAGCCGTGTCCCCTCTCCCTGCTATGTGGGGCGAGCACCCAGCTCGCCTTCCCTTGCCCCTCGCGCGGGCTGGTGGCTTTAGGGGCGCTGCGGGGGCGGGTGATGCCACCTCGCAGGACA